CAGGACAGTTTGTGTCAGTGCACCCAAACACATAGTTGTTGTTGTTTTGCGTGTTAGAGCTGGCTGAATAATCAGTTAAGTACATAAGTAATCACCTCAACAACTTACAGCTGCTTTAGAAAAGAGGAAGTTCTGGTTTCCCTTTTTTCACATCTTTGTATTTCTGACTCTTTTGAGCTGTTCTTATTTAATGAGATGCATTAGATGATTTAAAAACTTGTTTTTCTGTCTAAATAATATATAATAAAAAAGAAATCTCTGATGCTTAGGTTAAATGAGGGCCATCTTGGACCCAGCAGGCCTCCCAGTTTGCAGCACGCTGCTGAAATCTGGGATTTAAAATCCTTAGTCATCATGGTTGTTTTGAGATTGGTTATTAAATCACTTGTATTAGATCTCATTTTCCCATGAAAAGTCAAGCGTAATTTATTCTGTTTAAACAGGGTGGGAACAAATATCCTGTGACTGAATTGTGTTGACAAGTTATAATGGCATTTTACATTAAAATGTCATTTAAAAATACATTTAAAACAAAGCCAGTAACAGATTAGCACTACAAAAACCACACATGCCCCAAACATCAGCTGTTCGTGCACCACTGTTCTCGTTATGTGTGAACGGATTGGCATCTGATCTTAATTTCTTGGAAACCTTTCAGTTTAATTTTTCTTTGTTTGTACAGTATTTATTATGTTTATGGTTTTGGCATAAGCAGCTTTTCCATCAGGCCACCCAGGAAATGGATGCCTGCCAAACAGCAGCCCCTTATTGCCTCAAATTAAACCTGTCTGCATCAAAAAGTAAATGGTTACAATAGCCATAGCTAAACTGTGAAGTCGTATTTAAATTTTAACAGGCGTCTCGGGGATACTCTGTTTACATGCAGATGTTGTGGCTGGAGCACACCGCAATTCTGGAAAGCAATGCATTAAGCTGGCTCGGGCTCTCACTCATATTCAGTGTGTTAGCATCATTTTCTGGTGGACTGTGACAGGTTGGCAACACACAGGAAAATACAAATAGGACACAAAATTTAAATCTAGCATGCAATTACAAATAAACATATTTACAGCCACCTTCAGTGGTCTCTATAGCTCACTTTATGACAACAATATGAAATTAATTTCTTTATAAATTTGCTAATTGGAATCCTCTATGTCCTCTGTAGTTAATGCACTAATTTATAAGATGAGAAAAATGAGGTTTGTGTGTCTGCGAGTTTTGCACAGCAAGTCTATAAATGCAGATTGTTAACCAAGCCAGCTAGCATTAGCTGATAACAGTCCACCCCCTCTACCAAATATGATTACTTCTGGGAACAGTGCTGAGTAATATCTTGATTGCCACTTACATCTTTGATATACAGTACGGTTCTACTAAACCAGGGTTGCCAACTCCAGGCCTCGAGGACCAGTGTCCTGCAGGTTTTAGATGTGTCCTTGATCCAACACAGCTGATTCAAATGGCTAAATGACCTCCTCAACATGTCTCGAAGTTCTCCAGAGACCTGGTAATGAACTAGTCATTTGATTCAGGTGTGTTGACCAAGGGTGAGATCTAAAACCTGCAGGATGCCGGCTCTCGAGGCCTGGAGTTGGACACCCCTGGACTAAACACTCAACTTTAGCATTAATAATAAATTGTATTTGTGGTGAGACTGGGTGTGGTTTGGGGAGACTGGCTTGGAGTTAGAAATAAGTACATCAGAGGGACAGCTCAGGTTGAGTGGTTTGGTTTAAGTTAGATAGAGGGATAGTGGATATATTAGACAAAGGATGTTGAAGATGGAGCTGTTGAACAGGAGGAAAGAGCGACCTCAGAGGAGGTTCATGGATGTGCTGAAGGAGGACAGTGTGGCAGAAAAACGTGCTAGAGTTAGGGCGATGTGAAGGCACGTAACGTGCTGTGGCAATCCATATAGGAAACACCCAGAAGCGTCAACACAAAAGGTGTCATTTTTCTGTATTTTTGCATACAGTCCAGAACGTGTTGTAGGGTAAATGTTAAAACTGATAGTGAAAAACTAGAAAAGGAAGCCAGTAAGTGTCATCAGTGTAGAGAGGACACGTGTGGGTGGATAACAAAAATATTCTAACAAGAATTTAAAATGTTAAAAAAAGAAGGAGGAGGCGACTTTGGTTTTAAAATAAAAACTTATTTTTAACTGTCGTGGTTACGTGTATTTATGATTTGACTGTTGGGAATTCCTCATGAATATCTAACGTTAATCATTTTATGCTGCAGGTTGTTGTTTTCTTTATGGCAACCTTCATGCCGACGGATGGTGTGTGTGTGTGTGTGTGTGTGTGTGTGTGTGTGTGTGTGTGTGTGTTGAAATTGGATCCATTCCCTGTCGGAGGAAATACAGCAGTCTGATTTCCTGCCAATAAACTGCAGTTATGTTCTGGTTGCACTGCAGTCTTTCTATCCACATCTGCAATGAGCTGCTGGTACTGCTCATAAATATATGTAAATGCACTTGTAAACAGTACACACACATTTTTCAGCACTCTGTGTGTGTATGTGTGTGTGCAGAGTTCGACAAATCACCTGCACACACGCAGATTTGCGCACAAATATTAGAATTACACGGTGGTGAAATGAGTTTTGCCATTCAGAATAAAAAACCATGTAACACTAACATAATGAGAATGTACAAGGTCGCATTTAAAGCCCTCTGAGATGCTTGGAAACAGCCATGCATGTTAAAGAGTAAAACTTGACGTGTTGTGTAATCATCTCGACAGCTGTGCTTGTTAATAAGGAGACTTTTGATGTTCATGCAGTTCAGTGAGAGCTGCTGCATCGATAATCAGTTTTAATCCTAAATACAGTTCATCACAGCATATTTACAGTCAGGTTACATTTTGGCAAGTCTATGGAAATATAAGCAACAGGAGTTGATGAAGTCCTCTGAAAATTTTTTAATTCTCTATGGACCAGACATAAAACGTCTCAAATTCTGGTAATTGCAAACGTTAAATGTTTTGATTTGAAGCTGCTATACATTCAAGTTTGGTTAGATACAGGCCCAAACACAAAGGATGTCAAATTATGTCCGCATGGCCATAAGAAACCAGGTTGAAAGTTGAAATCTGTCCACTCTGACCTTCTGATTTCCCTCCCAGAAGCACTAAAGCTGCAATTCCTTAAGTCACTTAAGGTCTTTATCACATACACAGACACACACACACAAAGGTCTTGGTGGTGGTGGTCAGAGGGCCCGGTGGCGCCAGTGTCCGGCAGCCTCGCCTCTGTCAGTGCGCCCCAGGGTGGCTTGGCTACAATGTAGCTGCCATCACCAGTATGTGAATGTGTGTGTGAATGGGTGGATGACTGGATATGTAAAGCGCTTTGGGGTCCTTAGGGACTAGTAAAGCGCTATATAAATACAGGCCATTTACCATTTACCATTTATGAATTTTGATTTCTAAATTGAAATCATCTGTATGTCAGGAGTCTGAAGGGTAGCACTGGCGCTTGCCAGTATGTTTTGTTGTTGTTAGTTTTGCTGACACTGTTGTTTTGCATGAGTGGAGACAATTTCTGTTCTATAATGGTGGTTCAGGTTTTTAAAAATTAATTCATTAATTAAAAGAATGAACTGAAACTTGGGTTGGACGTAAGATGTTATCTTGAGGTCTAAGTTTGAAAAATGTATTGTAAAAGGAACTTCTTTTATTCATTTTCTGTCACATAGATATATTGAACAGATGCCTGTAAATAATTAGTTTGTACATTTCTTTCTACATTTGGCTCTGTCACATGTCAGAGACTCAATATCCTCAATATGGTCATCTCAGTCATATTGGTTGTGAGTACAGAACCTCCACCCACCTGCTGTTTAACTGCTGTTTTTTGCAAGAGACCACCATTAGAAGAAGACTTCCTGTTAAAAGGGAGATCTTCCTCCCCACCATCAGAAACACCCTTCCTCACAGAGGGTCATCAGACCATTTAGGTTGTCTTATGTTGTAGGGTGCTTTGCTTTCAATATAAAGCATCTTCAGTGACTGTATAATTTAAAGCACTTTGAATTGAAGATAATTTAATGAATTATTCATCAAGTTTATTGGTAATAAGCATTTAACCATCAGCCACATCTATCCCAGCTCTAACTTTGGTGTTTTTTTACCTGCAGTTCCTTAAACTAACGATTGCTAGGATGAGGTTTTTGTTAAACAGCAGATGTTTATGCTATGTGTTGGAATTATGGGCTTTTATTTTAATACTTCTTATTGCGCCTGCCATGAATATCGCTTATTTATTGTGGACAAAATTTCTGGCTGATGCAGAAAGAGCAAATATAAGAAAAGTAAGAGACTTCGTGATATCTGTGGAGGGAAAATACAAAGTTTCTAAAAACCTTTGTCGAACAGGTTTATACTGAATGAGCTGCAAGAACTAAATATGGAAATTTTGGAAATGTGCCATCACTCGCCTACATATTTGTGGACGATAAAGAGGCACTTGCATTAACTCTGACGTGTTTGCCATTGAAACCAAGCCTTCAGCCTATATAGATAAGCTGCATATTTGCTTTTGAAATTCATGTTTGTCAGCTCTCCTGTGTCTTATCTTTACAATATGTTGTACTTAGCGCAGGTGAAGGTAAACAATGACAAAACCATCAGGCACAGCTCGTGTTTAAAAGTCAACACTTTTCAGCTTGTAGTGAAAAAGTTTTTTTTTTTTCCTTTCTGTCCTCGGATATCTTATCGTTAAAAAAGGATCTAAATGGCCTGTATTTATATAGCGCTTTACTAGTCCCTAAGGACCCCAAAGCGCTTTACACATTGAGTCATCCACCCATTCACACACACATTCACACACTGGTGATGGCAGCTACATTGTAGCCACAGCCACCCTGGGGCGCACTGACAGAGGCGAGGCTGCCGGACACTGGCGCCACCGGGCCCTCTGACCACCACCAGTAGGCAACGGGTGAAGTGTCTTGCCCAAGGACACAACGACCGAGACTGTCCAAGCCGGGGCTCAAACGGGCAACCTTCCGATTACAAGGCGAACTCCCAACTCTTGAGCCACGATCGCCCCTAATCTAATTTAACTGGTGCAAGTTTAAGTGGTTGCTTGTCGGTGCTAACTGAAATTTTATTGTGTTTCATGGTACCACGACCATAAAAACCCGATTCAAGGATGTCTTCCTCGGACACGTCTGCCAAAAATTGTTGCAAAAGGTCTTTTCAGATGCTAAGAAAGACCAACATCTGAGAGCAGAGTCTAAAGCAAGCCCTGGATTGGGAGCTGTTTCATGCCTACTCCTGTGTTTGTAATCCCTCCCTGTACGCTCACTAGGTTTGACCTGGAGTACAGTTATCGCTTGCATTTCTGACAGCCTTGCACTGCAGTTTTATTCCCAATAAAATTCACCATTTCCCTCTGCAGCCATTTTACTCAGTTCCTGATCAGTTTTGTTCTCTTGCAACAGATTCAGAAATGTTTTGAATGATTTAAGTCTGTTGCGGTTTTATACTGTATTTCTGCTTGCTCCAATAAAGTCAGTCCACTTTGTTTCCCACAGATTTAAAACTGATTTCTGCTTGTAGTGGTAGAAGGGAGATGGTAGAAGAAAGGGGGTGTAAGTGTTCACAGTTATATGACGTGTCTGCCATTTCTCCTTTGCAAATATTTATTTGTGACACAAAGAGCTGCTCTTATAAACTGGATGAACTTCGGCGCCACCATCTTAGACAGCAGCTAGGAACAGAGGAGCTTGCTGCGCTCTGCAGCCAGAGTGAACCAAGTTCTCCACCTCTGATAGCTTATCGTAGCCCTCAGGCTCACAGCTGATCTCCAGGAGAAGGACTACCCTTTCCAGCTTCAGTAAAGATAGTGGAGTTGGAGTATGCTCCACCACCGTTTGAGATATAGTAGGGGCAGTGCATTCATTAGATTCTCGTGTTGCTCGGACTATTCTGAAGCCAAAACCTACTGAGTCATTCTATAAATGACTTCTATAAATAAGCTGAAGATAAAGCTGTTCATTTTGAAACTGTCACCTGAAGGTGATTCATTATACTTATTGCTATATCCATATTTTTATTGTTGGATTCTGCTAGAGTTGTTTTGCATGACTCTTATATACACTTCGGTCATTTTTAATATGGGTATCAAGCATCGTAACAGTATGTATATGACAGAGAACAAGCAAAAGCAGAACAAGTGCATTTAACTCATTTGAGAAGATCCAGACTTTGTATGAAATGACTTTGACAATTTTTATTGGAAAATCTGCAACCTTGAGTGATTTCTTTATGCTATGTTCAGGATAAACTTTCCAAAACCTCCCGTTACACATACTAACTATCTCCTACTTGCAGTCAACACTATCTGGATCAGCTGTGAGCTAATGGAGCTAAAGTCTCACATGTGAGCTCTTAACTTGGACTCAAAAGCCGGAGACCAAAGGTTGAATGTTATACATACATTTTCCAGACTGATTATGGTTCCACACAACCTTTGAAACTGCACCCTACTTGTCAGCTATCGGGATTGTGTTGAGTGCTTCAAGTTCAATAGTGGTTTGAGTGGCGGTATTCATGCAATCCACAAGGATCTCCAAAGATATTTCTACTTGCTGTGTGTGGATTTCTGAGGGTGTATTGAAGACGCCTTTGTTCCTGTAGGCCCCCATAGTTCTCCACGCTGCTAAATCATTGAAGTCCCATTTAGCATGTTATGATGTTTGAACAAGGCAGGAAAGTTAAATCGATGCACATTCTGTAAAAACTCATCCCAAACATGTTTTTCTTGTGAAAGTGTCAAGACTTATATTGACACACACTGTAAGGTTCTTTATAGCAGCTGAGCTGACTGAACAGTACATACAGAGGGTCATTATAGACTTTCCTCCCACAGTGCCAGTTTGTTAAAGTAGCTGGAACCGGAAAGGTGTTCTTTGGCATTTGTGCCATTGTGTCCCTCCTAACTCCTAAAGAAACCATTGGTGTCACATTTAAACTCACTAAGTAATCCTCATTTCCTTTGGCATCCATCTATATCTTAGCCTGAAACTCTTTGTTTACACATCAAAGCTTTCTTTGATCTCTAAACCTAACCAGTGACTGAAGGTGAACACCCAACAAACTCATTGATGTGGTCATAAAATGTGAAACTTCCAGACTTCAAATTAAGAGTTCTTTGGAATTAAAACGACGATTGTCATCTTTTGGTGTTTAATATCGTCCCAAAATCTTTCTGGTATGTATTTCTTCTACACCATCAACATCTGGCGCCTTGGGATGAGAACGTGTCCTCGATGTGATGCTGCGGCTACCTCACAAGAGCAATCCGGTCATTCGTTCAGGTCTTATGTACTCAACAATCATTTAGGAGCTTTGATTTGACTTTCTTACACGGCAACAGGTTTAAAATGTCCCAAGTCTTCAGCTGTAAAAGTAAGGATAAGCAAAATATGAAGTTAAACTCCTGAAGTTAAACATTTGATGTGGAGAAAATTAACTCCAGAAATATTTGAAATATCATTTTAAATGTTTCGGATAGATCAGATAAAAGCAAAAGGTGACCTCGTCTGACAAAACATCGGTATTTGATGTCCAGGGATGAGAAGGCCTTGCAGAAACTGGTGAAACTGGAGTAATGATTGGACTCATGTAAGGTTGGTCAGATGAAGGATTCTCCGTGCTTTCTCTTTATGGTAACAGTATAGCTTGTCAACAACAAGTTGTGACAGTTAGACTTAATTCATGTTGTGTCCCAGAAACCATGCGGGGGGCAGTCGGTTCATGCTTTTCACTCAGTTCCTCACCGGGCTGCAGACTGAAGCACGTCCCTGTGGACATCACAGCTCACAGGCTGATCCACCTGAGGCTCTTTAGTATTGTCAGCATTTGGTTTGAATGCCATCACATGAATGAATTTCTCCAGAATGAATTCCAAATAGGAAAGACAGTCATTTGTATTCATACAGAAATCACTGAAGTCCTGAGTGTGGCTGAGAATGACTCAGGCAGAGCTCCTCTGAGGCAGACCGGTCAGACATAACTGTCTGTGTCTGGCTGCTGAGGTGGTGGATTTGAGATCATGTAAATATCAAACACGCCTTGGGGTTCAGTGACGAGCCGCTGTCTTTCGTCCTTGGATCTCCTCAAGTCTCTTATCTGTCTGTGAAAACAGAGCAAGTGGCCAAGGCAGCGAAGGCGTCTGACAAATCCAATCAGTCATACTCACCGCAGGGTTGGTGGAACTGACTCTTTTTACAAGTAGCCTCAGTAACCAGGTGCAGTGCTGTGTTCATGTGCCGTTATGCACTCAATAACCTCAGAACATCTTCAGGCTAGAGGCTATGACAGTACATTTCTGCTTTGTCGCCTTAAGTAGTTTTATCTTTCTGCACATTATAAACAAAAAAAACAGAACATTTGTTGTCATTCACACCAGTAGACTTTTGGGGCTACTGGTGTTTTTGATAGCTTGACAGATTTTTGTAAAATATTCCTGTCATACTCTTGCAGCGATATGACTTGTTTTTCTACTCTATAATCAACAGCTGTGTCTGAGTCATTTTGGCCGCCTCCTGTGGCAGTACTGCAACACAAATCATTTCTGAGAGCAGTGCGTCTGACATAGGTGAAAAGTGTAAAAGCAACAACTTTACAAATGATCAAAGTCAGGTCAAAGCGGGTACGAAGGGAAATCAGATGATGATGAGACACAAACAACAAGCTGTGCCTCACTCACTGCTAGAAAAGATGGAGTTTCCACATTACGGGACGCACTGACATAACCTATGCCAGTTCCAACACTGTGACTTCAAGTATCTGCTAACAGAGAGTAACACAGTTAAATTAATTAGCTCTCTTTGAGGACAAGAGAGGGAATCATTCTTTTATCTGCAACGCAGCATGATGTCTTTGTAAAGCACATCCAAGAACATAGATTTACTGAACTGGAATTTGTTAGAAAAACAATAAATGACATTTTTTTTAAGGTACTTATGTCAAGATTTCATTTGAATCAACTCTCCTGACCAGTTTGTAATTTAGCCAAAAACAAAGAAAAGCTGTGAGAATTAAAGATGTGAAATATTTAATATTGGGGGGGTCCTGATGGGAAGGGGCAGTTTGTTCTCCAGTTTAGGAGCAGTCACAGCAAAGGCCTGGTCTCCTCTGTGCTTTAATCTGGGCCTCGGGACAGCTCGGAGCATTTGATCCACAGACCTCAGTGATCTTGCAGGAGTGTACCAATTCAAAAAATCAGAAAGGTATGAGGCTAACAAAAAAATGCCAGAATTATTCATGAGCTTTTGGTTAAATGCCACTAAAGCCTTTCATTCAAACCAAACCTTTAATCAAATGGCCTACAGGTTATCAGTCAATGTACAGACAAGCGTTGGGGAAAGAGCGAAGTCCAGAAAAAGACAAAAGGTCGTTCTCAGGGAGCGTTGACTAGAAACTCATGGAAAGTAACACTTTCCAAACAGAGGGGAGAAAAGGCTGCAAACTTGGCAGTTAATTGAAAGCTTGACTCTGAGGGACACCAGACAATCTGGTAAGTGACAAGGGGAAATGGGGAGAGTATATCTGGGGGGGAGGTTGATTGGGTCACCGCTGACAGTTGGTGAATGAAATGGAACGGCAAACTTTGAAAAACAGCAGAAGAATTTAAAGGTCAAATGCAATCAAGCACTTGGGTTCCAAAATAAAACAGGAAGTGACTAAACAGAAATTGTGGTTACATCAGCTGTCTTGGTAAATGTATGTATTGCAGAGAGCTGTGGGTAATTTGCTGGAGCCGCTGAAACTTTGTGAGCACCTGTTTCATCGCTTAACAGAGCCTGAGAGGCTGACCTGGATGTGTCACACAGCAGTAAAATCTTTTCGATGTTTTACAGGAGAAACAAGGCCAGGGGCTTTGCCACGTTGCACAGTAAATCAGGATGGAATGACAAAATTATTACAGGCCGGTGCATGCAGAAAGGACAAGTCTGTATTATAGTTTCTTAGAATGAAATGAGAAGAGAAATCAAAAACAGAAACAGGGAAATAATTGTGCTCATAAGACAAGCCTGCAGGCTTTATTTTATTTGCTGCTTCTGATATTTCTTTCCATCAGCAGCAAATGAAGCTGCAGTTTTTCTTTTATCTCTCCCGGGCTCCCTTTTTATTTCTACAGAGGAGTAAATCACAAGGGAATGACCAAAAATACAGCTCGTATGGTTGATACTGTAATCGATGCACCAGTTAAGACAGGGTCACTTTTGTAAAACAAATTACAAAACAGTTAGCCGGCTTTTTTATAGGTCTGACACCCCTTCCAGCCTCTCTCCCATGGCTCTCTGAGGTTTGTTTTGCCAGAGATCTCTTCCTACTAAAAGGGAGTCTTCCTCCCCACTGCTGCTAGGTGCTTCCTCATAGGGGATTGTCGGATCATCAAGGTTCTCAAATCTTTCCAGTTCAATACAAAGATCTCTGAGACTCAGCACAGTGTTGTGAACACATTCAGTCATGCATTTTGAAAAGAATAATTTTCATTCGTAGATTCATGAAAAATAACATCTGACTGTTTCCAAGGTCATCATTCGAATCCAAATGTTTGAAATGTGCAGGAACGTGACAAGCAGAGAATTTGTGACGAGTCGCTTCCCTTCCACACAAACTTGCGCCAGCTTTTGCAGACATGGAGGTCATGTGAACATCTGAGGAGGAGAGGATTTAGCAGAGCAAAATGCCACTTAATCCACAGAGATGGACATAATCGCTTTCAGTTCTGTTTTGTTTTGTCTGCCGTTGCTTTCCTCCGCAGCCAACAAAGCGTCGGGATGGATTTTGTATTCAGTATTAAACGTCTCGGTAAGAAGCGTCTCAAAGCGTCTCGCTGGCTTTAATCTCTGCTGAGTGCGTCCTCTGACTCATAAGCAGCAGCTGAACACACAGCGGCCCTCTGTGGTCCCGCTGCACTGATCAATAACCATTTCCAGCCCAGGAGTTTTCTCAAGCTCTGTCAATTTGAGGATTGATTGTCTAAACAGGACTGAATGTGAGTGTGTGTTTATTCATGCCTGCGCATGTGTGTTTATCATTTGTTTCAATGCACATGTTTGCGTGCGTGTCTTCAGCCTGAGGCCAGAATAAGCAGTGGGCAGTTTGTGTGTACTCTGGGTAATTAAACTGCTCTCCAGAACAAAGTGACGACTTTGTTTAGATCGGATCCTGCCTCAGTTTAAAACCCAAAATGATCCACTCTCTGCTGACAAAATAAACAGTGGCTCAATTACAGAAGTTAGAATAAGCAGTAATTCCTCTTTTAGTAAACTTTAATTGGGTTTTGCAGTTATCGTTTTAATTTGGAATTATAAGTAAGTAAAAAACTTTATTTAAATAGCACCTTTCAAGATAAAAATCACAAAGTGCTTCACAGAAGCTAAAACCTAAAAATAAAAATCAACTAAAAGCAAGTTTAAAAAGATGGGTTTTTAGCTGTTTTTTAAAGCGACCACTGAGTCCACAGATCTCAGGCTCAAAGGGAGAGAGTTCCCCAATCTGGGGGCCACAGTTCCAAAAGCTTTGTCGCCTTTTGTTTTCAGCCTCGTGTGCTGGACAGCAAGCAAGCCCTGGTCACATGACCTCAGGGACCTGCTGGGAATGTATGGATGCAAAAGTTCACTTGTATATGTTGGTGCTTGTCCGTGCAGGGCCCTGAAAGTCAAGGTCAAAACCTTAAACTGGATCCTGAATTTAACGGGGAGCCAGTGCAGCTGAATCAGCAGGGGTGTGACATGGGAAAACTTGGAGGACTTGGTCAGAAGCTTTGCAGCAGCGTTCTGCACAACTTGCAGACGCTCCAAAGAGGCTTTACATAAACAAGTAAACAAAGAATTACAGTAGTCCAGATGAGATGAAACAAATGCATGAATGACAATTTCATAAGACATAAGATACATGTCTGTCTTAAATACGTTTATTACAGAATAAAGACTTTCACCCAAAGTCACCTGCTACAGTGTATCTCATGTCCAAGGCATGTACGAAGTGAGCATGAGTGTTAATGACAGTATCATCAGCATACAGGTGTATATATGCTTGAAAGTTCTTACACAAGTTTCTTTTAAAGAAATTAAAGCAAAATTGTTTCTATTAGTTAGTTTTATCTCAACTCTAGTTTAACTTTGACTTTCATTTAACCAAAAACTTCAGTAGACCTTGTATTACTTTAGTCTTAGTGTGCTAGGATGACCTTGGTTATGACTTGTACTTTTATTTTACTATTTTACTGTATCTGTAGTTCTTTTCATAGATTGTTTAAACAAAGATGTCACTAATTGGTCCTAAGTTTTTCAGAGTGTGATCTAGGTGTTTGAAATCCTTAGAACTGTTTTATTGTAATACAATCAGGACTGTAGTTTACAACGTGAACTTTATGTTGGCTATATAGTACAGGTTGAGCCCATAAATCCATTAGGAAAGTATTTACTGAGGTCACAGAACAAAGGAGACTGTATAGACTTATACAACCACAAGTCCTTGAAAGCAGACGTCGTACCCCCTGTTGGCCATTAGAAAGAATGCAGTTTTAAAATACTTGCTCATCAGACATTCAAGCACTGCTTTACTCATAAATGAGTGTGCATGGTCACTTTTGTAAAGGACTATCAAATTGCACTTTTTACTGTCATGCACTTTACGGTGTTGTTGGAGAGTCCAACATGTACCTTGTATGAGTGCTGTTGTCTTTCTATGTGTTCTATTAAACAATTAATTGTTTAATGTCTTCATATAGAAAAATATTTCATTAAGCAGTGTACCGAAGCTAACTTGACTAGTTTTGTAGAACTTAGAATAAACACATCTTATATTTCATATATATTCTCTATATGTAGCACCTTTGAACATTATTTTTTAATTTTGCCTCAGACACATGAAAATAACCACACAGCTGGAAGCTACAGTAAAATGAAAAGTGTTTACTGTTGGACAAAAATAGCCGTAGCCGCTGGTCCTGCTGTAGCTTTGACACACGTTGTGCAAATTCAGTCCATTCAGGCTGAAATAAAAGAGCAGAGCGTGTGGTGGGAGTGAAGGGAGAACATACTTTTGCAACATCTTTAACTCGAATGTGGAAGTGCTGGTCAAGATCTGGGGTACTGAGCTTTTAAAATAGCCCAGTGCTGTGGGAAAATTGTATCGGTGCAATGTGAAAATTTTGTCTCTTAAAACCCTCGTCATGGACTCCCATCTGTCACTTCAGCCACTTGAATACCTCGACTCAGGCTCCTCTGACTGTGCACTCCCAGCATCCTCCGCTCCCTTCTCTTTCTTCCATCTCAGCGCAGAGAGCTTTTTTTTCATTTATTTGTGTCTGTGTGTGTGATTGGGCCAAATTTTCTGCTCCAGTTTTTCTGCCTGTCCGCTCAGCCTCCCGCACTCTCCTGCTGCAGATTGGTGAATCAGTCATTTTAAATCAGCAAGCTGGATGGCAGCGGGAGGCAGTGCTCAGGCCTGTGTTGTGAATTATAGTGTTACATTCGTGTAAAATTTATTCATGAACACACATGGCCGATACTTCACCTAAACCACCCATTTCTCAAACTGTTGTTGGGCATTTGTTGGACCAGTGACAAATTATAGTAAAAATTACGACCCTTGACCCCCTACAGAAGGTTTCTGTCGGCACAAAAAAAGTAGCATGGGTGGAAATAAAAGTCTGACTGAACGAGCAGTAACAGAGTCTAAATCCACAGCAGTGCGGCTGAATTAGATAGCTGCAGCAGCTTGTTGCATACTCGTAGATCTGTTCAGTCTGATGGCGCAGAACTGTTTTAAAATGGAGGTCAGTGTGACATAGGACGAGAAGCTGCTGTTATTGTCCTCAGGGAGAGGATGCTATCTCTGTCAGTGTGTCCTGTGAAACCAAAACTGTGTCCTCAATGTCAGTTTCACTGGAAAAACAGCAAGTGATGCAATCACTACAATGCATTTTTCTCCTTAGAGTCAGTTTTTTTTTTTCCTTTTGTGTCACATACGGTATCTAATTTATAGGATTTTTTTTTTTTTGCATCATTTGATTAGCTTCAGTGTACATAAAATAATAAAAAAATGAATAAAATATTCTGTAGAGGGCCAGAACTACAAATAAAGTGCAGAGGAGAAAAATTAAATAATAAACAAATTAATAAATAAGACATTTAATGAATCACAAAGCAAAAATTAACTAATGTAAAACAGAAATTGTCAGAATTCTTTGAACTTTTAATGAAATGTAAGAGATAAAAATTAGAAGGAAACAAGGAAACAAGTTCATAACATGAGGGGAATTAGTGGAATCTATTTAATGGGGACTACTGTACTTTTTTTTGTACCTTAGTCATTCTTGTCCTTCATCCTGCACAAAAAAGTTCATTTTCTTCACTTTAATAAAGGTTAAAAACACCAAACTGCCATTAGTGCTCATGCAGTTCTTCCTGTTTTCTGCTGTCAAGCTGATTTCCCAGCAGAGTGAGCGTCCGAGCAGGACGGGGCGTCGGACAGTGACAGCTTTAACCTTTAACGTGT